TTATTTTTCTTCTTCTCGAAAAAATAGCATCGATCTCAAAATAGAAAAACTTTTAGTAGATCTTTGGTAAATTAATTGACTGAATCTTCATTCTTGACAAATAATTAAAATAATTGAAAAAGTTTCGTTAGCCAAAGAGAGATAGTAGATAGGAATTAAATTTTAGTATACTAGGGAATAACGAAGGTATTCAATTTCACTTGATATTATTCAAAGTTCAGGTCTTTTTGGTTCATTTATGGCTAATATTTATGGTATTTTATTTCCATTGTATTTCACTTGGTTTTTTTAGTATTTTATTTAAGTACTAACTAAATACTAAACTAAGTATTTTATTTTAAACTGTTTTTAGTATTTTATTTAACTACTAACTAAATACTAAACTAAGTATTTTATTTTAAACTGTTTTTAGTATTTTATTTAAATAGTAACTAAATACTAAACTAAGTATTTTATTTTAAACTGTTTTTAGTATTTTATTTAAATACTAACTAAATACTAAACTAAGTATTTTATTTCAAACTGAGAAACATACGCTTTTTAAGAAATATTATAACAAAATTTACCCAAATGCAAGTGTCGGCCTTGATGCAACAAAAATTGTTACATTAAAAGTCTTCATAATCAAAAATAATTACAAAGTTCGATTATCTAATTAAATAATTAAAAAAAGAGTAAAATATTGATTTTGTCGATCATTGTATAATTTTATTAAATTTATCTTATCTTATCTGTTAAAACAGATGAAATAGATTAAAATTTTATTGAAGAAATAAAATCTTTATATGTACATGCAATGAAAAATGATGTTTTAATATGGCAATTAAATGAATTAATAGATATTAATGAATGATCAACCTTTCTCTGAATTTATCTTATCTTATCTGTTAAAACAGATAAAATAGATTAAAATTTTATTGAAGAAATAAAATCTTTATATGTACATGCAATGAGAAATGATGTTTTAATATTGCAATTAAATGAATTAATAGATATTAATGAATGATCAACCTTTCTCTGAATGTTTTATTTAATATACCTAAATGTTCGAAAATGGTCATGAAAATTTTCAGGGGCATTAATCAAAATTTACTTCTAAGAATATTATTACTTTCATAAATTTGATAGTCGTTTCCAGAATTTAATTTCCTGAAAAAATGATTGTAGAAATAGATTAAACAATTGTTAGATGTGGAAATTAATTGTAAACACGTTGTAAATAATTAAATGAAACAATATACATATTCTTGTTGATTTTCAGTTAATGACTTTTCGATAGTAATTTAGATATAGATCTAAGACAATTTCGACATAAAAATTTGGAAAATTCGTGGAACTCGAACAATTATCAAAAGAAAACTCTACTCAAACACAAGAAGAAAACCAATGAAAACCAATAAATAAATGACAAATTTACCGAAAAAGGCGGCAGTAGAAATCAAATTTCTATTAAATTGTTTCGCATGCGTGGAATTTTTGCTTCGACGGTATTCGAATAATATTCAGAGATCATGAAAAAAAGCTAGAAGTATCTTCTAATATTGACTTGACTAATCATCATCGATCTGGCAACAATCGATAGACGAAAACACGCAGAGTTTTGCCTCCGCAGCTAGCCTTACCAAATAATCTCTTCTTTTTCTTTCTTCGAGACTTTTGAACTTTACTCGAGTTCAAGGTAAAACCAGCGGACACAGTCGGTGTTTGAAAATCGACAGGTATGTCCGGTGTGTAGAGCAGAGTCTAAGACTGATTGAAACGCTTCCAAGAAACCAGTGATCGAAATGTTCCGCGAAGTTTTGTCTTTTAATCGCGTAACAAAGCCGATGAAGAAGCATGAAGAGTTAAGGTCTTCCGTTCGTTTCGTTGCACATCTTCAAGTTTCGATGCTGGTTTCATTTTATTTCTTACTTTCTATCATCTAGTTTTATTTTTTATCATCATTATTTATTTTTATATTTTTGTTATAATTATTTATTATTTTTATTTTATCATTATTATTACAAAGTAGAGACTTAGTTACAGTTGTAAGTTGTTAATAGTACAGTTGAATCAAATAGAATTGCAAAAAATTGTTTGTCCATTGAAATATATCGAATTAACTCAATAAAATGAATAAAAGAAAAGATAAGCTTTAGAATCAAGAATAAAGAATAAGAATGGAATAAGAAGTTATTTTATTCAATAGCCAAATAATGAAATCATTTGCTTGTTCAAATAAAGTAGAATTATTTTAAGCTAACGTCGAATCAAATAAGATAATGTATCATTTAAATAATTATTTCATTCGATGAAATTAATATTTTATTCATAAATAATGTCTAGATAGAGGCAAGTGATTCTAAATGCAAAGAATAAAAGTATCAAACGCTAAAATAACATTTACAATCAACTATATAAAATCTGTAACGACAGGTATTAATAAACTGCCTTTAATCGGAGTTAATTATCATTAATCAGCCTAATTCTTCTTTCGAGTATATCCACTGTTAAGAAAGACAAAATTTACATAACTTTAACTCTAAACTTGTTACTAAATTAATGGAATAGGAAATATATAAATAATATAAATATAGTAATATAATATATAATATTATAATAAATAGTATAAATAATAAATATATATATTATAAATATATAGTATAAATATTAAATATATTATTAATAATAAATAGTGTAAATATATTTTACTAAAAACCCATCGTTGATAAATCTACAAAAATTTCTATTTAAATGAATTGATCGTTCCGATCATTTCTAATAGTTCCACTAGTTGAAATAAAATTATTTCTGTGAAACAAATAGAAATAATTAATTATCTTCCTTAATTATCCCCACAATTCTCGATTGAAAGCAGAATTACTTGTCACTGATTGTTAATTGAAAGAAAAATAACGGCAGATTGATTTCTATCGGAAACAAGTGGCGATTTAAGTTTCGAGCATCCGAAGTCTAAGTAGTCCGAGTCAATAATTTCAGCGACACGACAGCAGGTCGACGATTAATTGTCCTGTATGATAAATTGACCGCGGGTAACCCGGACGGCTGGCACCTAAATTAGGCATATATCATTTATGGAATTGACACAGCGGACGACGCACGATCGATATTAACACCGTTGCGTCTCTGCCAAGAAATTTTTCCCGGCGAAACACTCGCGCGTCGCGTCGTTTCCCCTCTCCTGTTATAAAAACCTCCTGCGAAATTATTTCATCAAGGAACTTTGGAGGTAAAATATAAATCCACCCTATCTCCATGTCCTAGGTAGAGTTTTAATACCATCTTTGATAAAGAGTTGCTTTTTTTCTCTCATTTCTTCTTTTCTTTTTCGACTTTAATTTCCTTTTTTCGCGCACATTAATTTTCCTTTCCCGATGGCACGGATTTCATTTTAATTCGTATAATCCGTATGCACACATATTTTTCTCCAACTTAACTTCCCTTTGCAGTTTTGCTTTTTAATAATCCAAGTTTGTTTTCCAAGTTACAATTTTTCCTTGTGTCTTGTGACTTTGATTTAGCTTTAATTTGCACAGTCTGTACAAACACTTTAAACTTCTTCTTGACTGTTTTTTTTTTTTTTTTCTTTCTTTGTGTAAATTCACTTTTCGATAGTGAAGTCTCGAACATAGTTTTCAGTTGTGCTTTCTTCGATTTTCATTCCTCTTTTGTAACTTGACTTGGTGTCGCTGTTAATTTATATAAGCTGTAAAACATTTTAAATATATTTTTAGATTTTTTCCAGATTGATTTTTTTTTTTTTTGTACCTTTTCTTGTGTTAATAATCTGAATTTCATTTACATTAGTGTAATTTGAAACATTTTGAAACTATATTTTTAAGCTAAGTTAATTCTGCCAAGGATATAAAAATCAGAAAACCCAATTTTTTTTATTAATCAACGATAACAGTATAATTTTTGTTATTGTTGTAATAAACATTTTTCAGGTACCTATAATCAATCACAGGTACCTGTGATTTGCTATTGAAACCACTGAGTATCTATGACAAAATTCGATTCACTGTTTTTATACATAAAAAAAAGCATAACTGGAAAATTGTCTGTTGTAATTTAAACTGTTACAACTTTTTAAAAAAAATCTTGTACAATAATCCACATGATCTCATTTTACAAGTGTAAATTCTCTACTTTGATAGTCTTGGGTTCATTTTTTTCAAAGATAATTTTATCCTGTAACGCTGCTAAGAAAGTGAGGATACTTTCACCTCAAAAATTTTAAAAATTCAAACGTCTGAAAACTTTTTTCATGATTATATCACTTTGAAGATTTTTCTTTACAGTTTCTTCTGAAGAAATATTATCTCCTCTTTGCAGAATAGAATTTGCTTTCTTAAAACTTGCTGTACAGTTCCTTTTTCACAATTTTATTGAACTTTTGAATATCAAAGTTATACGACAAAATTTTAAGAAATTCTGACATTCTGCCACCTAAGCCCAGATCGTAGCAAATTTCAAAGGATCGCTATAAAATTTCAATCTTAAAAAAAAAAAAAAAACAAAGAAGAGTAACAAGTTAAATAAGTGAATTATTTTATATACTTCTTCATTTAAAAAAAAAAAAAAAAAAAACTATCGAAATATCTTAACGTTGCAATTTTTTTTCTAAAAAGATGGAAAGATCAATAAATAAGGAAGAAAGGAAGGAAAAGATTCGAATTGTAATAGGATTTTCAAGATGTGTTTAACTCAAAAAAGAATTAGAAATTCGATTAGAATTTCGATTAACGATCGATGCTCGTGCTCGTCGATTATTGCCTCGTATACAAGTGAGGCGCAATTAAACGCGACTTAATCGATTGGATTGAAAATCTCGATTGCTCCGGCTGAGCGCGAGAGGAAATCGAGTCGGAATGCTACTTTCCAACGATCTCGCGCGCCTCGATCCAATAATCGGATATTTCCCCGCGTAAACTAAAAAGTAAACTAGCTCGATTCCTCTAACTTCTCTGATCTGGCATCTTTTTCCTGTTTGCTTGCAGTTCAGAAAGAAGGCGGCACGCAACTGAAGCTCCAGATCAATTATTCAAACATGCAGGCCCTCTTCAAGCCTATGAGGTGAGTCCAATTGAGTTAAATTTTTTCCAAGAAGTAAATCGATCCTAAAAATCGGACGTTTAACCGTGAATAAACACGTTCCCGATTTTATCAGTTAATCTCATGGAAAGTGTTCGTTTTAATTAAGAATTAGTGGGAACAATTTATGTGATAAAATATAACACATTATGATATCATTTTCATCTAAACTGATAGAGAGAGAAAAATTTTGTGAATAATAGAACAACGACGTTTTTCATTTAAACATTTATTATGTTATGTCTATTTTTAGAACTATTTCAAAATCATTTAACTATTTTTGACTATTTTAAAATTATTCCAATATGTAAAAATTTATTATGTTATATCTGTTATTTTTACTTTGGTGTATCCTTTGTTAAAATGGGACACTGTAACTTTGAGGCATATTATGGCTTCAAGGAGAAACAAAAGATAATAATAATAATTAAAAAATAATAATAAGAAACAAAATAATAATAATATTTAATTAAATATATTATTCGTGATGTTACCATTCTATAATATCTAATAGTACTTGATTACACAAAATGTCCCAATAACTTTGTCCACCTTGAATGTCTTCGTTTTTGAAGATATAAAAGAAATTTTATCAACATTGAGAATTTATAAATAAATTTACAATTGATTTCTTTCTCCGGACACAATGTTAAACTTTCCGTATTAAACTATTAATATTTAAGATGAAAAATTAAAAGTTATCCTCCACGTTGCAAAAATACCAAACGCTATACTATTAGAATACTCTGCCGAGCATATTTGATTGGTCAAGAGACGAGGTTGGAAGCTGTCCGCTTATCTCCGGCAGTCGTGTAAGTTACCGAATAACCGGAATGCACCGGTTAGTGTAACGAATGAAAGCTCGAAACTTGGGGGATGAAGATAAGAGATTTGGGTAAAGTTCCGCGCCTTAGGACACGATTTAACAAGGATTATTTCAACTATAATCGAACCGGCAAAACGTGCCTTTGACGAGATAAAATCGAGCGGCAGGCGTTTAATTCCGTCCGAATCGGATGTTAGTTCCGGGGGATTAACAATTTATTTGATCGCTAAACTTGCAGCACGGCCGCGAGTTATACACCGTTTAATCCACTGAAGTTGAAACCCCGGTCGCGGACTTGCAAGTTCTTGCAGAGGAACCCGCCCTGCCAACTGTAAATACATCAAACTCGAGATCCAATTTGTCGCACAAAAGAAGAACGTAATCCCGTGCGTTTGCAAAATATTTTTCATGTGCAACGATATTCAAGTTTCTAACTTTGAATGCCAGTAATCACTGGGGGATTCAATAAACGTAGTTGGCTGTGTATCCTCCATGTTGAGCCTGTTGCATACGAATGGCGCGCGTTAGTTTCACAGTCGCGTCAATTTGAAGCTACATAGGTTCGCGCGAGGAACTTTCGTATCCGTGTGTACACGTGCATATTTTGTGCGAACGTGTTGCGCGCGTTGTACGAAGTATATTTCGCAAATTTCATTAGCACTACAATGAGTCCTGATTATCACCACCAGGCTACGGATTTTTATGCTGTTTTCCTATCTTTCCGGATACAATTTTCAGAAATAGTATGTTTATGAGAAATTTGTTTTATGCATCAAATGTATTGTAGAGAGCACCGCGCTTTGTTTATTTTATACGTTTCTCGTGTATCATGCGCAATCCCGTGCAATTTAAAATAATCATGGTTACATCAGAAAAATCAGAGAGAAATCTGAAAATCGATATAAAGGTCACGAGATATTTCATTCCAAATATATATACAGATATACTGAAACAGACCATCTGTACATCTCTTTGGTGATAGAAAAGAATTATATTATGTTATACTATATACTATAGATTATATTACAATTATGTTATAATTAAATATATTAGATTAAAGTTGTTTGGATCGATTGTTTTAAATGAAACAGTTAGCATCTTTTGTGTTTGTTTTGTCCTTGTCTGTTACATAGATTTTACAAAACCAATTTTCCATTAGTAGGTTAACACGTTAATACACTTAGATATAATTAATGTTAAAATTATATAATACAGTAAAATATAATTAAATATTTTATATATGAAATAAAGTATATAGTAATATAAATAAAAAAAATAAGTATTTTAAAAGTAACGAATAATCAAAGTATTTTGGTCTTTGATATTTTGTTATTTGTCAAATCTTGTTTTATAATAACCAAAATCTATCCAATGATACTTTGAGTAATATTACTTTTCATTTTTATATTATATTACATTACATTACATTACATCACATTACATTACATTACATTACATCACATTACATTACATTACATCACATTACATCACATTACATTACATTACATTACATTACATTACATTATATTATATTATATTATATTATATTATATTATATTATATTATATTATATTATATTATATTATATTATATTATATTATATTGTATTATATTATATGATATCATATTATATTATATTATATATTCATTAAGATATGTCTACATTTAAAAATTAAAAAGAATCCATTTCATTTGCAACGAGCTAATAAATCAAACTTGTTTAAACTTTTTCAAAATAAACCAGACATTACAGAAACCAAGATTCTCAACTCATTCAAGTAACTTGATTTATGAAAAGTTAAATACCATTAGGCTCCAGGTTTTTATGCGCGTTCATACAGCAAAAAAAAAAACCTCGTTTCATATTAATGTACTAAATATTATACAAAACACTAGTAATACATTGATCATGATTCCTCTATAGAAATTATGAAATTATAATAATATAAAATATAATAATGTTGTTCGATTGAACTGTTCTGGTAACTCAAATAGCAAACTTGATCCAGATCAAGAAGCTATTACAAAATTATTGTCACGTCTTGCTGTATCTTTCTCCCTTTCTTGAAAAGAAAGGAGAGTCTTCGCGTTAAATGCGAGCAGAAGAGGAGTAAAACGAGAGAAACGAGGCCTGTTGGGGGGTTTTCTTACCACGTGGTTGACGATGTTACGTGGATGGGATTACGAGCACAATTACATAAGTGGAGAGCCAAGTGCCTCGTGCCATGCGAGAGCCACTCCAACTGCCCTTGCCTCTCTTCCACTCAATTATCATTGCCCACTTTCTCTCTCTCTCTCTCTCTTTTTCCCTGCAGAAAACGCGATACGTCACATCCTCCCATTGTCTCGCAGCTTAAGAACACTTTCGCCAAGACAGAAGGAAACGAGCATCGAGGGTGGTCGTCGCAAAACATTTTGGACACGTCCGTGCTTTCCCTCTGGTTTCACTAGTTCAGAATAATGGTAGCTGCGAGAAATGGATTGTAATTTTGACTCACAAACGAAGAAACGAACGCTTTGTTTTTCCTTATTGAATTTTTTTTATTGTATATAAATTTAAAAATACAATAATTATTTAAACAGAATGCTTGCAATTAGACTTTAATAAGATAAATAAGACAAATTGTTTTGATTTCATATTTGTTACAGTATTTGTAACAATACATGTATAAATACAGGGAGAATATATGTTATAATACACATCCATTAATATTTTGAAATAGGTAAAATGACTAAAACTTCAAAGTGAAACTCGTCAGTGCAATTTTGGTATCTGATCTTATGAAGCATATATTGTATAGTATTAATCGTATATTATATCACAAATTGAAATAGGAAATTGATTGGAATACTTTTATTGGACTTGCAGATCTCAAATGTATGTCTATTAAGATACTGATTAGTACAGATAAACAAAGAATAATTGAAAGTGAATGAAAATCTATCCTACAAAATAATTTTAATGATTTTAACGTATCTGTTTCATATTGGAATGTCAAAGCGATTAAAATGTATATACTCTAGAAATTCCTATAAATTTCAGAAAGTGTCAAGTATTTACAGTATATACAGGTAAATATAGCGCTTAAATACAGAGAACTCTTTATTTTAATTTCAATTTAACTCAGTTATAACAAGAGATATGGAATTAACAGCAGAGAAATATTCCTCTATTAGAAAAATTAAATATTCTTGTCAAATCAGAAGGCTACAAATAATTATATTTATAAATTTGTTAGTTTAAGAATATAATATAATATATATAATAGTATATTCATATAATATAAATAATGTAATGATAGATAATTGATATAATATCAAATATATGTAAATATTTATTTATCACAATTGGTAATTCTACTGTTAAAACAATTTAAATTTGTATAAAATAAAATTTTGAAGGGATATTTGGTGTGCAATATAAATTCGCCCTGTTTTTGTACATATAATATATAATATAATACATATGTATAAAAATAACCAAATATGTTTCAGTTTTTTTCGCCAACGTTTCATTTACAATTTTTTTCAATCAATTTGTCTCATTAAATTCGATTTTTAAAACGATTGAAATTTTATATTACTATGGAAAATACCGTTTAATAGTTTTTTCACTATTTATTACTATCTCTTCCGTCTGAATTCTACAATTGTATAAAATTAGAACAAACTGAAGTACTCATGACACAATAATAATTAAATTTCAGATTTTTTCAGTGTATTTATGAGTAGTTTAAAATTGCAAAAATGTGCAGAATATACGAAACATTATGACGATAATTATAGTATTTATGAAAACTCAAGTTTTTCATAAACATTAACAACCTAATCGTGACTGAACTATTGCTTGGTCCTGAAATCCCACTCATTTATCAATTACATTAAATAAATTTATTAATAAATTACCAAACCTATAAATACAAGTACTTATTGCCTTTTGATTTTAGAAAAAAATGTATATAAGCATCCTTTTCGAATAATTGCCATTGTCGATATACGTATAGAATTCTTTCTTCAATTATTATTTTAAAAATATTGAAATTGACGATAACGATAATGGAAAGATTATGAGGATTAAAAGAGAAGAAATTGCGATTTCCGTAAATTACCTTTTACTTTCTCATTAATCATGAATCATTTTAATTGTCATAAATCT